ATATTATTGTCTTCTTTTTCTGCGATTCCCGTGTAGTAGGCCTCGCGGTCGAGGATGCATCTTACAGAGTCTTACTAAAACTCAACTGGTTTTTTTTATTTTACCAAGTAATGCCCACTGAGCTGTATGTCTCCTTTTTCAGAAACCACCTGGCCACAAATGACAGCTTAACGAAGGTGGCTTCGTCGCAGTGGAGTAGCGGTTAGCGCTACGCTGTGCTACGAACCTGGCGACGCGGGTTCGATTCCCGCTCATGGCCAACACCAGTGACGATTATCCGAACCGGTCCTGGGCCTCCCCTAGGTCGACTCTGCCTCAAATGAGTACCTGGTGCGGTGATAAAGGCGGTCGGGCGTGGTGTTGGCCACCCACCCCCTCGTGTGCCGTGCCGGCCTTCATGGGTGCTCGCTAACAGCACTTGCCCCAACAGTCTGTTCAGCCTATACGGAGGATCTTTGTCTTTGCCCTGCAATATTCGTACCTGAACCCCCATTGGTGCAGCCTGCCGTACGGGACTTGACGGTCCTTTGATCATACTTTACGCTGGTTGGTGAATGTGGGCGGGGGGACGGTAGAAGTGCGTTACCACGATGACTTTTACGGGATAGCCCACCACACAGGCCCCGCAGCAGCAGCCGATAACAACGCTGCCATGCGTGGCGGTCACCCATCCAAGCGCTATCCAGACTCGACGCTGCAGAGCGTCCCCAGGTCTGGCGAGAATCTGGCGCATTCCAGGTGGCTGGTCATCGACTTTAATGGCCTCGTTAAATATAGGTTGGGGCCTCGTTAAATATAGGTTGGGGACTCGTTCGCGTCCGGTGAAAAGGATGTGCCAATGATGAGCGTGGTGTCATCTTGAAATGCTTCTGCCACGTAGCTGTGTTTGTTTATGGTAAGGGTTAGGCTTAAGGGTTGTGGTCAAGGGTTGGGGTTAGGGTTAAAGGTTGGGGTTAAGGGTTGAGAAGGGTCGGGGTTAAGGGTGCAGAGATGCAGAGTGGTCACCACAAGGGCGTAAACAATAGTTTCGTACCTTTTTTATTTCCTGATTTGGTTATGGCCCGACTTGTACAAATAACGTGCAGATTATATCCTCAAATGACGTTTGGGCTAATGAACTCAACTGTAGGAGCAACATTAAAATAGAGCCATATTACAAATGGGACGGTAAAAATGAGTTGCAGAAATGTGGTTGCGGTCTAAATAGAATCGTGAACTTTAATCGATTCACGGGAAATCCACTTGCTGGGGGTAGTGGCTTAATCTGTGCATTCCTACTCTCTTAGAATTGGTAAACCGAGCGGCTCGTTGGAGGATTTAGCTTCAAAATGTATCGTTTTAGAGAGACCGCGACCTTTCTACAGCCAAATGCACTTAACGCTGACACCATGCTCCCCCACTCCCCCCGCTCCCCACACCAACAACCGCAAACGCAGCCCTCGGGGTGGGGGCCTCACAGCTGATCGCACGCAAATCTCCCTGCGGGCAGCTGCCCGTGCGATGTTTGTGGGTGTCACGGTGGGCTAACAAATGTCTGGGAGGGCTGCCATCGCGTCCATCTAACAGCCACGCCCACTCGCACATAGCCACGCCCACTTCCAACAGAGCCACGCCCACTCGAACCACTAGCACCCCCCCCCACTTCAAAGAGCGAGTGAGAGCCCCTCCTATTGGCTCTTACCGGCACTACTCAGGTGTCGAGCAGGAGGAGGGCAGAAACTGGAGAGAAACCCCAGAGGTTACTGCCCCTCCCACGTTAAAGAGTCCGTCTCACCTTCTCCAGCGGGCCGTGTTTACAGAGTGGGCAGGGGGGTGGGAAGGAATGAACTCAAACTAAACTAGGTTTTGTTATATTACCAGGCAAGGCCGATAGAACTACGTAGCTCTTTTTCAGAAGCCAGTTGGCCACAAATGATAGCTTAACGATGTGGAATATCACGTGGAAATGTATTTCAGCCAAACACCGTAAACGCGCGTTTCTAAATGTGGAGGGAAAAACCGGAGGACCAAGAGAAAATCCACGCGACCACGGGGAGAGATCGAGAGACATGAAAACTTCAAATATACAACAGGCGTCGTGGTCAGGATCGAACCCACGACCTCTTGTGCACCAGGCGAGCTAGTTAACATCTCTCCCCACTTGTATCCTTGTATGGGGTAACTGAGTAAAGCAGCCCCCCCCCCCCAAGCCTCCCTCCCTGGAAGAATTCTCACAACACCCCCCCACCGCTCCATGGTGATGTGCATGTCAATCCACTGCTGGATGAGTCGTGCCGGGGGTTATTTGACCATACCTCGCCACGCTGGTCACTGCTCGTTTGTGCAGACACCGCGCCATAGCTTTCCACCGTGCAGCCCCACAGTAGCCTGTAGCACCCACAGTGCCACCCCCAGCACACGTTACGCATGCACATGTCCCAGCCATCTTTATCAATCAACTGCTGGATGAGAGGGCGTCTGGTCGCTTTTACAGCTGTGGTTAAAAAACAATTGGGACGAGTCGTGTGAAGTCAAGACGAATCCTGCACTGTATCTCGCGGCGGCGCAGCAAGGGGGACGGTGTGTAAACGCGTTATCTTGAGCGGTGTACTCTATTATTATTAACACGTAGACACCGCGAGCTTTCACGTCCCGGGAACAGATGTTAACAGCCGCGCCTGGTGTGCAGGAGGTCGTGGGTTCGATCTCGACCCTGACGCCTGCAGTATATTTGGAGTTTGCGTGTCTCTCACTCTCTCCCCGTGGTCGCGTGGATTTTTCTCCGGTTTTCCCCTCCACATTTAGAATCAACATCACGCGTTCAGAGTATTCGGCTGCTTTACATGTCCACACGATGACGACGATGGTAAACCCACTTCGTTGGGCTACCATCTGTGATGGACAGGTCGCTTCGGAGAAAGAGCTACGTGGCTCAGCGAACCTTGCCGGGTAAAACACAAACACTTTGGTTTTTGTAGTTTAGAGATTACCCAAGACGGTGACATCCTCGAAAAGAGGAGGAAGACTTCGACGACTCTGGAAAAATTCAGGACAGCTGGCTACCCCCACCCCTACGACTTGCAGCGCAAAGAGCTGAAAGAGCAGAGGGGCAGCGAGAAACAAAGGTGGTGGTGGAGGAGGTATTGCAGGAGGCGTCACTCGCACGCCCGCCCGCCTGCCCACAGCAGATAGAGACGACTGTGATGAATGCTAATGCGTCATTAGCGGCGTGATTAATATTCACCTGCCATCACGCACTCGCGGCTCACTGCGCAGCGTCACAGATGGGGGGGGGGAGTCGGGGCACGGGTTGAGGGGGCAACGCCACGGGACTGCCCCCTCGGAGCTCGAGGCCGTCGCGTGCAAAGGACGCGGTGTGCTTATTAGCGTTCCGTGCAGCGAGTGTACTGAGTGGTGGGAGTGTACTGAGTGGTCGGAGTGTGCTGAGTGGTCGGAGTGTGCTGAGTGGTGGTAGTGTACTGAGTGGTGGGACTGTACTGAGTGGGGGGAGCGTACTGAGTGGGGGGAGTGTACTGAGTGGGGGGAGTGTACTGAGTGGGGGGAGTGTACTGAGTGGTGGGAGTGTCCTGAGTGGTGGGAGTGTACTGAGTGGGGGGACTGTACTGAGTGGGGGGAGCTTACTGAGTGGGGGGAGTGTACCGAGTGGGGGGAGTGTACCGAGTGGTGGGAGTGTACCGAGTGGTGGGAGTGTACCGAGTGGTGGGAGTGTACCGAGTGGTGGGAGTGTACCGAGTGGTGGGAGTGTACCGAGTGGTGAGAGTGTACCGAGTGGTGAGAGTGTACCGAGTGGTGGGAGTGTACCGAGTGGTGGGAGTGTACCGAGTGGTGGGAGTGTACCGAGTGGTGGGAGTGTACCGAGTGGTGGGAGTGTACCGAGTGGTAGGAGTGTACCGAGTGGTAGGAGTGTACTGTGCACAGGGATACAACTCAGTGTTGCTGCACCGGTACAGCCCTCCCGCGTCTCCACTGCCGGATTGACAGAAGGGGCCTCCCCACACCGTGCGCTCCTTGTGGGTCTTATTTGAATGCCCGGAGCATGAACGCGGGAGCGCTTAGGTGCGTTACAACTGTGGATTTTGACTTTCACAATCCGCTGCTGCCAACAGCGTAACGCACCTACCCCCACGCCGCTTCTGAAAACCTGTTCGTGCATCATATCGATACCCGCGCAGGCGCTGTCCCGGCTGCAGCCCTGCTTGACCTTCTGAGGTCGCGCGCTGTACGGGCGATCTGCTCATGGGCCGTGGCGGTTGCGTCGCTTTGGTGGTTCTCGTCCACTGCGTTCTTGCTGCGTCACAGTTCCGTCGCCACCGAGTCCCATGCTCGTCGGCAGAGCGGGTTTGTCGCCGGACATGCACCACGCACCACCACCTACTCCCCTGGCTTTCCTCGCGTTATGCGGTCGTAGTAGTGGTAGTAGTAGATGCGTTCCAACAAAAACGGGTGCACAAAGCGAAATCGCGGTGCATGGACCGCACAGCCACTCAACCCACAATGCCCCGCCGAGTAATGCACACAGTACATACAGTACACACATGCACAGTACATACAGTACACACATACACAGAGCACACATACACAGTACACACATAGTACACAATGTTGTCCCATGCCCGGCCGCAAAGCCGCATCTGAGTGAATTGAAACCGCATAGAGCGAGAGAAACCTGAATCTGATCGCACGGGGCACGTAGCCCTGCTAGGAAGTGTCCCATCGGCCTACCGTCTTGCCAGACCAATATTGTCCAGGTCTGGACAGCCATTGGGACGACGGACTCCACACGTGTTTTGTTTATTTGTGCGTTGCTGCCGATTATGATGAGGACGACGTTTGCACATCGGTTTGCACATCGGTGCACACAATGAGCTTCTAGAATTCCCACTTCTGGCTCAGGGCGGTAAACGGGGAGATGAGCAACACGCGGTGCTTGGCATCAGGACGACGCACTCCCGCTTCGACGGACGTGCGCTTTTCCCGCCGGAGCGCCGAGGGGGGCTCACCTGCAGGCCCTCGATGGCCAGCCGCAGCATGCTGGGGCTCAGCTTGGAGGCCTGCTTGAAGGAGAAGTTGCTCCAGTCGATGATGAGCACGAAGCCGTTGACCTGGCACTCGGCGTCCTCGATCATCGTCTCCAGGGACAGCAGGATGGCGCGCAGGATGTCCACAAACGTGTACCTGCACGCTCCGCGCATTAACACCTGCGTGAGACCCCCATCCCGACGGGCGGTCTCTTCGTCTCGGGTTGGAAGCGCCCGTCCGCACGTGCGCACAAACGGGATCCCCAACTCCAAGTCAGTCAACCACTCTGCGCTATTTTGTCTTCTTGGCTCTGAAAAAGGCCCTTTGCCCGAAACAATGGCCCACTGCGTACATTTATGTTGCATGGCAGCGTTGATTATGATTATGATGGGAGAGGGACTCTATACCTCTGAGGAAGGGTCATCATCCGAAACAAAACAATATTATTTTATTCTCATTCTACGTGACTTTACCGAAAGAACCAAAGAAGATGAATCCTTGCAGTCACGAAAGCTTTAAATCGAAATCATCCGAAACGTTACCTTTTGTATATTTTTAATTTTAGGGGCCACAGTGTTATTGACGAATGTGTTGAGTCATATTTGCGTTTCTTATTCGTGCTTGTACACAACTGACGGTGCAGCAGCAGCAGCGGCATCACCAAAAGACACGTGTTTCATTCTGTAGTGTAAAGTTGTGTATCTATCTAGGAGCTATGCGATTAGAAACCAGTAAAACTGATACAAAAACAACAAAAAGAGCTGCCAAAAAATTGGAAGCACAAACTGGGGAATTTTTTTTTCAAATATTGAAATATCCACAGTTTTAAATATTAAAATATTCACGTGCATTTTGCCTCGACAGCCACCCGGCAGCTTCCGTATGGTCAATTCAGCATTTCCAAGTACAAACGCCTGTTGGAAAGTGTTGAATCATCCATGAGCGTGCATGATCTTTCCTCGTTTGTGTTATTTTTTTGTAATACTGAGGCCGCGTTCCAGTCTGTTCCATTGGTGTCAAATTGTGATGAGATAGAGGCGGAGGTGTGGCTCAGGTGGCTAATGCTGTGTCAGAAAACACCTAGCTGCCACGGGTGAGAACCTGCATTTAAATGCAAATTTCAGCCACCCGTGATTAAATCGAATCCGCAAGTGAAGTGAGTTGATGGTTTTGGCCCGGTCACCAAAGACGGCACAATTAATTTTGTTATTAATTAAATTTGGCTTTTTTTTCTCTCCTCTCTCCCAGCTCTGAGCAGTGGCACAGCCATCGAATGTGCGGGCGGTTCATCTGCACCCAGGGCCCATGGGTTGGAGGGACCCCCATTTAATTCCTTACGCCAGGGCCCAGGCCAACCACGCTACACAGCTGTGTAGCAGATTGATGGTCTCAGCTCGGTCAGCCGTGGTGGTACAATGCATTAAGCTATTTGTATATTATTTGGCATTTTTCCAGCTGTGAGAATTAAAGAACGGTTTGCTGAACACGTGATAAACACTGTTAGCAGTGATGTCAAAGGTGTTCCTCAGAGCATGGATCACAACGTATCTACAGGAGTGACTTCAGAATTAGTATTGCGATGTCATATTCCACGGCGTTCTGCGATGCCAGGTGCTTCACTGATATCTCAGAGTTTCGTATGTAAATTCATTTTTTCTCTCATGGTACTATGTTGAATTTCTTTCGCACCGTGTATAGCCAACCGTGCTAATCGGAGTTGCGGGAGGAGGATAACAAACGAAACAAAACATCGAAATCGATAGCACGATTGGAATGTAATCGGAATGATATATTTTTTTTAAATTGCATCTTGAACTCTCTCAGCGAGCAGTATAAGATCACATTGCATCAGAAAACATCCGTAAGAGATGAGATCACAGACCCACGTTTTGTTTCTTCATCTACCAGTTTGGTGCCCCAGGTCGCGCGCTTACAAATGAGACCCATCCCGGTCTCTTGAATTCTGAACCCGGCTCAACAAAATACACTTAAAATGTGAAGCTTGCTTCCGAGGTCACTTCAATAGCCACTTTTATCCACGCTATGAGCACACCATTTGTATGCCCCGTGAAGAGCGTTTGTTAAATGTCACTCTAAATGACGTCTTCTATCTTCGGTTGGAATAATTAGATCTTTTTGTCTTACCCTCCCCCCAATTTTATCCAGATTGCGCCGACTGCATCACGTGGTCACGAGACGAACCATGCATCCATTGGAAACTCTCACAGAGCAGCGCAAGCCTCCGTGTTAGGGAGCGTCCCACAGAAGCGGACACCACGGAGTTACCTCTGAGATCTCTGCAAGCGATCTCTGGTCCACAACGTAGGTGGGCAGCACTTTTTCCACCTGCTCCGAATGAGTGAAATGTCCATCGCTTGACAATCATACAAATATATTTTCGGTTCCAACCGCTGGAATGTATCCCAATTAAGTAAAGCGTAGATTGAATGCGATGGGGGCTGTTTTTGCGTGCCAAAATAAAGTGTCAATAATTTTAGCCACAATGAGTGCAACACCAGTTTTCACACAGTTGTTTTTGTGTGCAGTCACTGGTGATCGGATGAGACCATCCACTGACTAGCCCTCTAAGAACCCAGTTTTAAATAACAATCAGTTGCCTGAATTTGAACCTAAGATTTTTAATGGCACCACACCAGTGCTCTGACCTCTGAATTAATGGGGTTTAGGACTGGTTTAGACATCACTCGCCACTGATGTTAGCTGTGGCCAGGAATCATACTTACTGTCCACATCCGAGATGTGGAGGTTACGCCAGTGATGTTCACAGCCTGCGGGAGGGGATGTGCAGTGGGTCAATGCGGGGAATGGAGCTCTGCAAGAGGGCAAGGATTTAAGAATGAATGAGGCTGCGTGTTTAAAATAATGTTTGTGATTGAATTTGTAAAAAAATGCGGTTAAAAGAATGGGTGGTTAAATGAGAGTGCACGTTTGAATGTCGTGTGATTGATTGATACGGAGTTGAGTAGGAGTGGTTGAATGGGGCTGTGGAGTCGAATTAATCTGTGTGGTGGAATGAGCTGCAAGGATGAATTAAGCTCAGGAAAAAAAATCGACGTGCGGTTGAATGATGCCACACAGTGAAACGAAGGAATGAATGAGGTGGATTGAGTTAAGATGCATAGTTTAATGAGGCTACACGATTGAATAATACCGGTTGAAGTAGGCTGAAATATAATCTGTGCGGCTGAATTTGGCTGTGCGGTTGAATTAAGGTTCATCGTTGAATGAAGCTGCACAGTTGACCGATGCTGCTTGAATGAGACCGGTCGGTTTGGATGATGTCCTGTGACTGAATCGAGGCCGAGTGGGGGGCCGTGTGGTCCGTGAGGCTTGCCATCACCTGCTCTGGTCCCAGTTGGCCGCGAACAGCACCAGGACCTTGCGGCCGTAGTGATCGGGCTCGGCGAGAACGCCGGGAAAGCCGTCGCGGAGCGCCTGCTTGATGCCGTGGTCTGTCGCCTTGAAGTTCTTGAACATCTCCAAGTTCTGCTGCCGGAACTCGAAGTACTGCGCGAGCAGGCGGAACGCGGCCGCCGGCTGCGACTTGCGCGCCCGCAGAAAGCGCAGGATGAACGCGTCGTCCGTGCGCAGGAAGCCCACGTCGGGCCTCGTGATGATGAGGTCCCGCACCTCCTGGATGGCCTGGTGGACGCTCTCGGGGGTCTCGTTGAGCTCCAGTCGCGCCTTCTCCAGCGTCTCGGGCCTCAGGCCCGCCTGGAGGTGCGCCATGGCGTGCGACCCCTCGCCGGGGGCCTCCGCCCGAGAGGGACGAGGTGGCGGAGAGCGAGGAGGAGGAGGAGGAGGAGGAGATCGAGGTGTGACTTTGGTTCGAGCCACGGCTGGTGGGCGACCTCAGAAGGTCGGGGATTGGGTCGGTCGGCAGAGGGCCGATCGGCTCCTCGGCTTCAGCGCGGTCGCCTCGGGCTCTGGAACGGCTGCGCGAGGGGCGGCGATGGTGCGATGATGGCCGCGGTGATCTCGACGGTCGCGCTGCGGCTACATCCCCGGGCGGAAGAGGAGCTGCCCTCAAGTGGAGCCGGGACCGCGATCATACCCGCTCCGCGTGCGTGTGGAGACTCGCGCTCGACCCCACGGGACCTGGGAGGGGAGCCGGGAACAAAGGAGGGGGGGGGGGGGGAGAGGGGTCAGGGGCCCACGCAGTGGCGCGGTCGGCGTGGACCCTGGTGCAAGGAAAGCCTGGCCTGACCGCCGTCGCGCCTCCAGCCCCGCATGCCTGAGCCCTTCAGACCCGACGGACCCCTGGTGCAGTTGCACCGCCTGCACACTCGAGGAGCGTGCAGCAGTCTCTGTGCCCAGCGAGGAGGATCGGTTTGAGATGAGAGGAGGAATGTTGGTCGGTAAGGGCCCAGAGAAGAGTGGGGTAGAATGTTGTGGATGTTGTAGGGGGGCTCATTCACGCAAGGGGGGGGGGGGTTTGTTGCAGTGAGCCAAAGATTCGGCTCTGTGTTCCCCTCTAGCATCACGATGAGCGACAGTGGGAAAGAGGGTTCCCCGCCGCCTGCGTCGGAGGAAGAATTCCTGCTTGTACCGAATTCTCAGGAAGAGGTTGCGTGGGGGGAGGGGTCGCGTTCCTCCATCAGCTAGGAGATGAGTCACCGCTGCACCTGAGCGCAGAGCCGACGACGACGATGACGACGATGATGACGATGACGACGACGATGATGATGACGACGATGATGACGATGCTGAAGACAACGACGATGATGAAGACGACGACGATGATGACGATGATGATGATGATGTCGACATCACAGGAGAGCCGCGTGCGTCTGTCCGTGTGTGCGGGAGATCGGTGATCACTGACAGCACTTGGCCTGCACTCTGTTGTATTTTGGAGGCGTTTTGTGTCCTTGTCTCGCTGGGCTGTGTATCTGTGCGAGTGTACGTGCCGCATTTAGACGGTGCTCGCTTACAGCAGTTGTCCCACCAGCCTGTTCAAAAGGCGATACGGGGGGTGTTCATCTTTGCCAGCGCACTGCGCTACGAACCAGGTCAACCGAGTTCGATTCCAGCTCCCCTAGATCGACTCAGCCTTAAAATCAGTGCCTGGTGCGAAGTGTAAACATCAGCGCTTGGGAGACAAATGCGGCCGGGAGTGAATCTGGCCACAGCACCCCCTAGTGTGCCGTGCCGCCCTTAATAGGTGCTCGCTAACAGCCCCAGCAGTCTCTGTGTTTAGTACAGACATCGATATTTGTGTACTGTATAGAAATCTGAGATGTAATGTTGAATATTTCACAGGTTTGAGCATTGCCCCTAAGCTAAGCCTTTACCTACATATCTGTGACAGGTGTAATTCATGCGCGTGTGTAAATTGGTTTATGCTTAAAATAAGAAATGTTGTTAAATCTCGGCACACACGTACACACACACATCGTTGTGTGTGTACGTGTGTGTAGGTGCTCGCTAACAGCACTTGCGCCTACAGTCTGTTAAGACTATATGGGGGATCTTTGTCTTTGTGTGTACTGCAGTCGATACACACAGGAACAACACCGAGGAGATGGAGCGACGAAATAAGCTCGTGGCCCAAGGTGCGAGGTTGGATTGTCACACGGCAGGGTCGTGAGAGACGGCGACGGGGACTCTTCATCCAGCAGTGGATCGACCATGGACGGTTGTGATGATGATGGAGGTGGTGACAACACGTACACAAAATGTTGACATGTATAGACGACACGTATGTTGATGTATCCTTCATTTGACCAGGACATGTAATAATCCCCATTGAGACGCAGTCTCTTTTGCAAGGACGACCTGGGTGGTATATCGATGGTGACGACGACGACGACACGTAGATATACTAGAACCCCGTTAAGCGTGAGTGGACGAGTTATTGAGTGTGTGGTGTGCGTGGTGGTGTGTGTGTGGTGTGTGTGTGCTTGGTGGTGTGTGTGTGGTGTGTATGTGTGGTGTGTATGTGTGGTGTGCGCGTGGTGTGTATGGTGGTGTGCGCGTGGTGTGTATGGTGTGTGTGATGTGTGTATGTGGTGTGTATGTGGTGTGTGTATGTGGTGCGTGTGTGGTGTGTATGTGGTGTGTGTGGTGTGTGTGGTGTCCGTATGGTGTGTATATGTGTGTGTGTGGTGTGCGTGGTGGTGGGTGTGTATGTGGTGGGGAGCGATAGTGTAGCGGTTAGCGCGCTGCGCTATGAACCTGGCGACCCGGGTTCGATTCCCGCTCACGGCCAACACCAGTGACGATTATCTGAACCGGTCCCGGGCCTCCCCTAGGTCGACTTAGCCTCAAATGAGTACCTGGTTCGGTGTGTAAACATTGCCACTAGGGAGACAAAGGCGGTCGGGCGTGGTGCTGGCCACCCACCCCCTCGTGTACCGTTCCGGCCTTCATAGGTGCTCGCTAACAGCACTTGCCCCTACAGTCTGTTAAGGCTATATGGGGGATCTTTTTCTTTGGTGTATGTGGTGTGTATGTTTGTGGTGTGTGTGTGTGTATGGTGTGTGTGTGTGGTGTGCGTATGGTGGGTGTGTGTGGTGTATGTATGTGTGTGTTACACACCTTACACGGACGTCGTCAGTGGCGAGGCGGACACTCGTGATGAGCGAGTCGGCGCTGCGGCACGAAGCTGCAAGCAGCTAGCTCCGCTCCACTGATGATGCTGCTGCTGCTGTAGCTGCTGCTGATGATGCTGCTGATGTTGTTTAGCTGCTGCAAATGATGATGAAGAAGTAGCTACGGCTCTGGCTGGTTTTACGTGATGCGCCTGCTACATCTGTCACTGATGCAGCGGCCGCGTGTGTTGCTACTGCTGCTGCTGCTGCAGAAGCCGTTTTGCCTGCTGTTGCTGCTTCTACAGCTGCTGTTCCTGTTGTAGTCCCTGCTGTTGCTGCTTCTACAGCTGCTGTTCCTGTTGTAGTCCCTGCTGTTGCTGCTTCTACAGCTGCTGTTCCTGTTGTAGTCCCTGCTGTTGCTGCTTCTACAGCTGCTGTTCCTGTTGTAGTCCCTGCTGTTGCTGCTTCTACAGCTGCTGTTCCTGTTGTAGTCCCTGCTGTTGCTGCTACCGATGATGACGCCGTTTCTGCTTCTGTACGCTCCTGTGGAAGCAGTGTTACCTGCTGCTGATGCTGCTAAAATCCCTTGCTTGTAGCTGCTGTTGATGACGACGATGTGTTGATTGTGTAGCTGCTGCTGTAGATCCTGCTGCTGCTTCTGCTGCTGATGGTGATGAAGTCACCGCTGATGCTGCAGTAACCCGGCCAAGAGACGCACGCCTCTCACGTCTCGCTGGTCAACCACCCCCGAGTCAGCTCAAGGGGGTCCGGACCCCGATCTGCGGTGGCTGAGCGACCCCGGGGTGGGGGGACCCCCTGCGACTACTCCAACCCCCCTTAGCGACAGCACCAATGGCTTCGAGAAAGCGAGCGAAGGGGTCACGACAATAGCACGCTGGGGTGGGGGGGGTTACAGCCAAGCATAGCCTGCCCACTGACTCCCCATCCTTACTCCTCCTGCTGCTGCTGCTGCTCCTCCTCCTCCTCACAGACCCCTGACGGCGCCTTCCCGCAGTGGAAGCGCGGACTGCATGAGCAATGACGTCGCCAGTGTCGTTCGCAGGCGTCCCGGTCAACCTAGCCTGGCACCCGTGTGCGTGTGTGTGGGCACCCGTGTGTGTGGGCACCCGTGTGTGTGGGCACCCGTGTGTGTGGGCACCCGTGTGTGTGTGTGGGCACCCGCGTGTGTGTGTGTGGGCACCCGTGTGTGTGGGCACCCGTGTGTGTGTGTGTGGGCACCCGCGTGTGTGTGTGTGGGCACCCGCGTGTGTGTGTGTGTGGGTACCCGTGTGTGTGTGTGGGCACCCGTGTGCGTGTGTGTGTGGGCACCCGTGTGTGTGTGTGTGTTCTACAACTGACCACCACCACCACCAACCACAACCAAGGCTAGTCTGAGCTGAGCCGGGCAAGAGAGGGGGGGGGGGGTTATAGTTGGTGGGTGGGATGAGGATGGGATCTCCCGTGTAGAAGTAAATAAATATATTATTAATACCGCTGCTTTGAAGAAGAATAAATCCGTAGATTGGGAGCAGCGAGGAGGCAGCGCCACGCGCAGTTCGCGCGCTCCCTGTCCAGCGTGGGAGCCCTGGCGGTGGCGACGCCGCAGAGGCGCGCGGGTCACGCGGAACGCCGCCCCCCACCCCCCACCCCCCACGTCCGTCCGTCTCCCACCGTATCGGAGAGCGGTGGAGCAAAACGCACCGCGGGCGACGTTTCGTGGCGGTGGTCCTACGCAGCGGCGAGACCAAAATGGGTCCACTGTTGGGCAGAGGGCGATGTTGCGGCGTTTGCTTAGCGTGTGTGCGTGTGTTCGCGTCCGATGTTTGTGTCCTGTGTACGTGTGTTCGTGTTCACGCGTGCGCTCATGATTTGTGTGTACCGACTCTCATGAAAATGAGCCTTGCCTTGACACTCGCTGATTACTTTTATCCCGGATAAAGGAAGGTAATTTCTCTCGTTAATTTCTCGGCATTGGGGGGGGGTTGGCCACGTTTATTTTATTTATCTTCGGGAGGAACAGGACGAAACCGACGGAGGACATGGAGGGAGCGAGCTAAGCCCACGTTGCCAAAATCCCAAAGCCAAACACCCCCGTCGTTGTTACTCGGGTGTTGATGATGCTGCAGCGTTGGCTGTGCTGCACAAGCACAGCCAACGCGCTCGCAGTAGTAGTTGTAGTAGATGTAGTAGTAGTACATGATGTAGTAGTTGTAGTAGTAGATGTAGTAAATGTAGTAGTAGATGTAGGAGTAGTAGATGTAGTAGTACTAGATGTAGGAGTAGTAGTAGATGTAGTATATGTATGAGTAGTAGATGTAGTAAATGTATAGGAGTAGTAGATGTAGTAGTAGATGTAGGAGTAGTAGATGATGTAGATGTAGGAGTAGTAGATGATGTAGTAATAGATGTAGGAGTAGTAGATGTAGGAGTTGTAGTAGATGTAGTAGTAGTATATGTAGTAGTAGATGTAGTAGATGTAGGAGTAATAGATGTAGGAGTAGTAGATGTAGTAGTTGTAGGAGTAGTAGATGTAGGAGTAGTAGATGTAAGAGTAGTAGATGTAGTAGTAGTAGATGTAGGAGTTGTAGTAGTAGTAGATGTAGTAGTAGTAGTAGATGTAGGAGTTGTAGTAGATGTAGTAGTAGTAGATGTAGGAGTAATAGATGTAGGAGTAGTAGATGTAGGAGTTGTAGTAGATGTAGTATATGTAGTAGTAGATGTAGGAGTAGTAGGGGTAGTAGATGTAGTAGTAGTAGATGTAGGAGTTGTAGTAGATGTAGGAGTAGTAGATGTAGGAGTTGTAGTAGATGTAGTAGTAGATGTAGGAGTAGTAGATGTAGTAGATGTAGTAGTAGATGTAGTAGTAGAGGAAGGAATAGTAGATGACGTAGTAGTAGATGCGTTCCAAAAAAAGGCTGCAGAGCGAAACCGCACGAGTATACAGCTGCCTGCCGTGTAGAGCATACAGTATACACACCGTACATGCACAGCATACACACCGTACATGCACAGCATACACACCGTACACGCACAGCACACACACCGCACGCGCACAGCATACACACCGTACACGCACAGCATACACACCATACACGCACACCGTACACGCACAGCATACACACCGTACACGCACACCGTACACGCACAGCATACACACCGTACACGCACACCGTACACGCACACCGTACAAGCACACAGTACACGCACACAGTATACTAGTACACACAGCACACACACACACAAGGTAGTATCACGCCCGGCTGCATAGCCGCATATGAGCGAATTAAAACCGCATAGAGCGAATCTTGGGTAGGCACAGTGATCCACATTTACGCGAAGTCGCAAACACACCGAACTCGCACGAAGCGAGGTAGACCTGCATTTGCGATAGGCAACGTTTCGGCCAATGCCCTTTTTCTCGTAGCAACATCGTGTGTGTGTGTGTGTGCAAGGCGTGTCCACTAGGAAGAATGCCTTTAGGATGTTTGTCAATGTGGGATTATTTTTGTTCTCTTAACAGTGGGATTCTCTTTTACCGCCCATGGAGGGGGAGGGACCCCACAACTCAATGTGATTGGCATTGGCCAAACAACATCATACATGCACCAACAACATCGTACATGCACCAACAACATCATACATGCACCAACAACATCACACATGCACCGACACCATCACACATGCACCAACAACATCACACATGCACCAACAACATCACACATGCACCAACATCACACATGCACCAGCATCACACATGCACCAACAACATCACACATGCACCAGCATCACACATGCACCAACAACATCATACATGCACCAACAACATCACACATGCACCAACAACATCATACATGCACCAACAACATCACACATGCACCAACAACATCATACATGCACCAACAACATCACACATGCACCAACAACATCACACATGCATCAACAACATCACACATGCACCAACATCACACATGCACCAGCATCACACATGCACCAATAACATCACACATGCACCAACAACATCACACATGCACCAAGAACATCACACATGCACTAACAACATCATACATGCACCAACATCATCACACATGCACCAACAACATCACACATGCACCAACAACATCACACATGCACCAACAACATACATGCACCAACAACATCATACATGCACCAACAACATCGTACATGCACCAACAACATCATACATGCACCAACAACATCACACATGCACCGACACCATCACACATGCACCAACAACATCACACATGCACCAACAACATCACACATGCACCAACATCACACATGCACCAGCATCACACATGCACCAACAACATCACACATGCACCAGCATCACACATGCACCAACAACATCATACATGCACCAACAACATCACACATGCACCAACAACATCATACATGCACCAACAACATCACACATGCACCAACAACATCATACATGCACCAACAACATCACACATGCACCAACAACATCACACATGCATCAACAACATCACACATGCACCAACATCACACATGCACCAGCATCACACATGCACCAATAACATCACACATGCACCAACAACATCACACATGCACCAAGAACATCACACATGCACTAACAACATCATACATGCACCAACATCATCACACATGCACCAACAACATCACACAAGCACCAACAACATCACACATGCACCAACAACATCACACATGCACCAACAACATCACACATGCACCAACAACATCACACATGCACCAACATCATCACACATGCATCAACATCACACATGCACCAACAACATCACACATGCACCAACAACATCACACATGCACCAACAACATCACACATGCACCAACAATATCACACATGCACAAACAACATCCATGCACCAACAACATACATGCATCACCAACAACATACATGCATCAACAACATCATACATGCACCAAGAACATCATACATGCACCAACAACATCACACATGCACCAACAACATCACACATGCACCAACAACATCATACATGCACCAACAACATAATACATGCACCAAGAACATCATACATGCACCAAGAACATCATACATGCACCAACATCATCACGCATGCACCAACATCATCACACATGCACCAACAACATCATACATGCATCAACAACATCATACATGCATCAACAACATCATACATGCACCAACAACATCATACATGCACCAACATCACACATGCACCAACAACATTACACATGCACCAACAACATCATACATGCACCAACACCTGCCTTGCATGTTAGCTGGGTTAAGACGCGCGCGCGTTTGTGTCTGTGCTAAGAAAAAAAAATCGGTGTAGCGATGCGAAAAGAGGCGTTTGGACGGGATGGGCATGGGGTTGGTTGGTTTTTTGTGTGTGTAAAATAAGTAAATGCTAAGGGACTGGAACTGACCGAGCAGGGAAATGCACCGCAAATGTTGAACACCACACCAGGGACGTTGTTCATGTGGCTCGGGTGGGACGGAGCCTCGATCCAGAGTCGGGCGACACGGGGCATTGTACTCGAGGCAGGTGGGCAGTGGGGAATGTACGTGCGTTGAACTTCTTTCGCACCGTACGTAGTCCGACCGTGATAATTATCGGAAGCGTGGGAGGGGGGGATAAACTGAACACATCCAGCAGCTCTTCAGGAATGCGTTTTCAACCCCCAGACGTAGCGCCACCGTGCGTGTGCTTGCTTGCGTGTCCACGATTGTGCTCGATTCAGGGATCGAACCATTCGCTCTCAACTCAGGGGCTTGGTTGTGTCTCCCATTCCACTGGAAGGCGACGCTCGCAGTGTACAGGTAATTATGATCCGCGCAGCGCAATGTGGATGGTGGATTTATGTGGGGGAACTTTGATCATCCTGGGAGCATTACGGCACATCCAGTAGTGTCCTGTTATAGGAGCAGAGAGGGATAATGAGCTACGGGACAGATGGAGAGAGAAGCAACTTCGTAGAGAGAGGCGGTCACAGGCAGAGGAGAAGAGTGGGGGTGGAGGGTGGTCTTGATGTTGCGTTGTGGACGGTAAATAACGATTTTGTGTGGATTGCCAGAGGAAATTTTAAATTTATCAGATGTGATATTGGGCTGAGATTGATTGGTATCAGCGATGGGGTTAGGGCTCTGGCTGCAAATTCTCTG